AAATATGAACCTCACTGTTTAAAACTTCTTTTGAATTTTCAACATTATTATATGGTGGACGTCACTTATCCGTAGAAACAGTGAAAACATATTACTCTTTCTCCGAAAATGTATGGTTACGTCACTTTGTCTCCAGGGGCCTTGTACCGGTTATGACTGACCTGGTACATTATTTGATCTGAGATCAAGGACAATTTGGTGAACCTTGAGCATCATATATACATCAAACTGATCATGAGCGATGTACAAAACCTCTCTGAACATGTTTGAGCAAGTTTCGACGCTGAGGACATTGTGCAGGCCTTGGTTGTCAAATGTTCTAAACTACAGAATGCTTTGGATGACCTATAACGTCACTTGAGCTTCTTATATACATCCAAATAGATCAAGAACGATGCGCAGTAACTCCTTGAACAAGTCTGATGTTAGAGTTTGATGTGACTATCCCCTCCTTTCCAAACAATTTCCCGCCATTGTGTCCCAGTCTTATTATCCTCCTGTTCCTGTGCTACTTGCCCCTGCCCAGCCAGGATTTGGTCAACCGTCCGAGAGTAGTATCTGAAGGAGGCTTCAGAAACCAGTTTCCTACCTAGATCCTTCCAATTGAAATTGTTACCTATTAACCTCGAGCCCGCCACGAGTAATTGGTACCCAATACTAACCTAGAAATACTGCTATTTAAAATGTAAATCAAACATTACTGATTTTGGCTCCGCAAAGTGTCACACACGACTGAGCCTAGTAAATAAACGAACTAGTTAAAAAAAAACTCCTTGAACATGTTTGGGCAGGTTTCGCCGCTGAGGTAAAAAGGATCTTGAGATACAGCAGTGCAAACATATTCACTTCGAATGCACACTAGCGCCACCTAGCGGAGGAATTCCGAATTGTTCTGTTCATCATCCAACAGTCATTGACATCCTGATCAACTTTGCCCGATTTCACCAAACTTACTTCCCAAAATGTCGACGGAATATCGGCGTCTCTCAAGGACAGAGCTGCCAGGTGGTTTTATAAAAAATCTGTATCCACTCTATTAAAAAATCTGTATTTTCTGTATTGACGATTTTTTTCTTAATTAATCATGTTTTGTTGTTTTACAAATACAGTGCATACAAAATAACCATAAAAAGTTCTTAACCACCTATTCGGGCTATCGTACTTACCATACGGGATATAATTGCGCCATTTGTGATATCGTCCGTACTTATTTATAAGAGTGATATGAAGCCGTTTGAAAATGTATGGAGATTTTAGTTTCTATTCATTATCTTCCTGATAAGCAGTTTTAAATGCAAAAAAGTGCACGAGTTCATTACTATTTGATGTTTTTAATATAGATGAATACAATTAATTACATCATTTGTGTGGTAGTTACACCGAAAAGTCGAGAGATGTCGCCCCGCCAGTGCTGGTAAAATCATTTTTGCAGTATGGAGAATATCAGAAAATCCGCAATTTCTTACGAAATACATTTTCAATGCAAGTAAAATGTTTACGAGTACTTGTATTTGTACCATTTTAATGTGCTCGGGCACTTTTCTTGTATTTAACATACATGCTTATATTGGAAATATTCAATTAATACTGTACATCCCCATACAATCTCAAATCGTTTACTACCAGCTCCATATGCATCCGAAAGCGGTTGGTCCTCTGGTTGTGAATGCTGTCAAAAACACCATAACAAGATTAATTGTCGATGGAAATTTGATAGGTTCTCGAGCAGAGGGTGAGAACAAAATGAAAACAAGAATTATGTTGTTTTCAATATTCCTGATAACTCAAATTGATTTCATTTTGATGGAGTTGATGGCTAACAGAACAAAAATGAGAGCTAAGTATTACAACGAAACTACCGTGACGGGCGTGACTGCGTTTTCCGTTGGAGGGAGTGAGAGAAGCATAAAAGAAACAGTAACGCCTCGAGCAGATCCCACTGCAAAAAATATGGTTTTTAGCACAACAATTAATTTTGAAGAGAAGGGGGTACGCTGATAAAATCGAGCAAGTTATTTTGTTTTTATAAATTTTGAATTTTTAATTTCTCAAGCATTTTATAAAAATCTGTATAAATCTGTATTGTAATTTAAAAATCTGTGATAAATCTGTATTCTGTATCGGGTCTGTATTAAGATTGAAAAATCTGTATAATACAGATAAATCTGTATAAATGGCAGCGCTGCTCAAGGATACCGACGTGCTTCGTCTAGCAACAGAGTAGGCTCCCGCATAAACGCGAACCATCACATGACCTTACCGATAATGGTTATAAATTGTTTATAATCCCTGCTAAACTTCAACTGAAATGGTTATGGAACCTTACATGAACGTTTGTGTGATAAAGTTTTAACCTTATGTGTTATGGTTTTTTGGAAGCGGACCTTACAAATAATGGGTTGTTAAGAACCATTACCATTCCAAATTCTTGTTTTCTCCATACATTTTCGGAAAGAGAACTATATTAGAACGTTTTTACTTATGGTTTGAGAACATTAATGGTAATGGTTATGGTAGTCAGTAAGGTCCATTAATGATTTTGTATTATCACTCAACTTTACGTGAAATATACCGTGAATTGGTAATCAGTAATTTACAGGCAACCAATTCGCGATATATTCCACATAAAGTTGACGATGTTACAAAACTATTCATGGACCTTACTGGTTACCATAACCATTACCATTAATGTTCTTAAACCATAAGTTAAAAGGTTTTAGTAAAGTTTTCTTTCCGAAAATGTATGGAGAAAACAAGAATTTGGAATGGTAATGGTTCTTAACAACCCATTATTTGTAAGGTCCACTTCCAAAAAACTATAATACTTAAGGTTAAAACTTTATCATTAAACGTTCATGTAAAGTTCCATAACCATTTCAGTTGAAGTTTAGCAGGGATTATAAACAATTTATAACCATTATCGGTAAGGTCAATTTATGGTTCGCGCTTATGCGGGCTGTGGAATATGTACAATCCTTCCGGATGACACCAGAAGGCGTAAAAGAAAAGGCCCGAATAGGGACCTTTTCTTATAATCATCACGCTGATGGCTTTGAATACGGATAACAATAGCTAGCTGTGTTTAACAAAGGGTACAATTATGCTATAGATTTCTTTACGTACTACTACCACAAACGAAGTGACAAACGGAGCGGCTCGAAATTTGGTTTGACGCACTTACATGTTGTAATAATTGTTAACTTTTGGTTAAAATTTGACAGATGGAATGTTATCGATTAACCCTGCTATCCAAGCGTGGTTATTTCTGACAGACAAGAAGTTAAATTTTGACAACCGTGGCTGAGTTCTTCTCGAAATCCGATCAATCGACAGCAAAGGGATTTTCGAACATACAGAATAACTTTCGAAATGTCACCACGAGTTAAATTTAACTCGGCAAATGGTTCACAGCCTTAGGCTCTGAACAATTTGGCGATTTTTTTTTAACTTTGGGTTAAAATTTGACAGATGAAAAGTTATTGATGAACCCTGCTATTCGAGCATGGTTATTTCTGACAGACAAGAAGTTCAATTTTGACAACCGTGGGTCGAAAACCGGTCGATCGACAGCACGGGGATTTTCGAACATAGAAAATAACTTTCGAAATGTCAATTTTAACCAGGAGTTAAATTTAACTCGCCAAATGGTTCACAGCCTAAATATGTTATGGAGTAGCATCGCTGCTGATGTTTTCGGCAGTTTCAAGCATGGTGATACAGCTTTGTCACTATATGGGCGAGGAGATTGGGGGTGGGAGTTTGGTTTTAGAGCAAATTGTCGCTGTCCCATACAAAACTCCAACATGGCTGAATCATGAATTTGACACGTTAGAACACCTATATGTAGTCACCATGGTTTTAAGAACTGAATCTCATTACCGGGGGTAGGTTGTAACTCGCCAGTCAGATATATTCAGACTACAGAGTTCTAACATGATCACAAAAAAACACATTAAGGCTGTGAACCATTTGCCGAGTTAAATTTAACTCGTGGTTAAAAGTGACATTTCGAAAGTTATTTCTTATGTTCGAAAATCCCCGTGCTGTCGATCGACCGGTTTTCGAGCCACGGTCGTCAAAATTTAACTTCTTGTCTGTCAGAAGTAACCACGCTCGGATAGCAGGGTTAATCGATAACTTTTCATCTGTCAAATTTTAACCAAAAGTTAAAATAATCCACCAAATGGTTCAGAGCCTAAGGCTGTGAACCATTTGCCGAGTTAAATTTAACTCGTGGTTAAAAGTGACATTTCGAAAGTTATTTTCTATGTTCGAAAATCCCTGTGCTGTCGATCGACCGGTTTTCGAGCCACGGTTGTCAAAATTTAACTTTTTGTCTGTCAGAAATAACCATGCTCGATAGCAGGGTTAATCGATAACTTTCCATCTGTCAAATTTTAACCAAAAGTTAAAATAATCCACCAAATGGTTCAGAGCCTAAGATAGTCATATCTTATAACTCTCCAGACTGAAGCTAGCAGAAGACTGGAGTGAAAACTTTTTTATAAAGCTATCACGATGAGTTTTTTTTTTGTATGTTCGGATTGGAGAGTTATAACATGTTATACGACTACATTGATGACATTTTACTTGTTAATAATTATAACTTTGCAGTCTGAACAAGGCATAAGATGTAACGCAAGGTGACTCCCATCTCGAGACGATGTAACGCCCACCTCGATGTGCCGGACCGTTTCCTATCGTTTTATTCCACCGAAACTAATTTCCTAAAAAAAAAACCGGTTTAAACGTTTATTTAAAAACCCATGGGAGAAAATATGTTGTTTTGCTTCATTAAGTTGGTTGTAGTTTAACGTCTTATTTGTCTTATTTAAGTCATGTTGTAATGATACTATAAACACCCATACGCAGTTATTTTTAATGACAGAGAACTATTCACTATATGTACATATGCACTCTCTCTGGGAGCGGAGGAACGAGCCTCCAGAACGCATGCTTAACGGCTGGTTCGTAGCACGCTCAGTCAGTAGTCGTCAGTGGTGCGACTGATGGCTAACGTGCATCGTTTCAGGTAGAACAAATACTTATTTTGATATCTTTTTGTTGATTTTCAAAACGTTTTTTTGTTTTATAAATTATATTCGCGAAATCGACAGTCGTCTACAAGATAGATCATAAAGTGATTGTGTGTTATGGGAGTGACGCGTCGCTGGATTTTCAGACGATTTGATATCGCTCACAGATTAGTGACGAAAATCAACTAATAAAACCACTCAACACTGTCCTTTGACGAGCACTTGAAAGGCGTTTGCTTGTTCAGTTTGTTTCTGTAGCGACGTCAGAGTGGCTGTATTATTTATTATATTGTGTCGCGTCTAGCCATTGAAGGAAAGTGACACAAACCTTTTAGAACCATGGGTTGCGCTTCATCTAAATCAAAATCTTCAAAAGCTTCAAATGATGAAATTACAGGTAAGTAAGTACCTATAAGTAAAACACGTTTCATGGAATACAGCTAAAAAGCGAAACCAACGAACCGCAAAAAAAACCCAACAGGTGCCTACGCAAAATCTTGTTAGCAAGGTTTTCTTCATGCCATGTCTTTACTGAAGGCCATAAGAGATCAGCCTTCGTACCGGTCGGCGGTGAGCTACGCTTGTGGTAGTGTTAAATCATAAATTTCCGCAGCACGTCGTTTGTTGGGCACAATGTTCCTCGTGAAACTGAAAGTGAAACTAGAATGAATAGCAGAACTACCTATAAGAACAACAAAATGTGGGTCATTAACACCAGGTGTGGTTGCAAAAGTGTATCTTTGAAATAGTCGGAATGATCATGTAGCACGGAAAAAAAATCATAATTATATTCATGTGTTTCACACATGAATTATTAGACAAAACATCAACCTTATAGGGGAATGCCGACTTCGGAAATACTTTTTCCAATTATCGTCAGGGCTTAAACAAAGTTCTTGAGCTCTCAAATTTGGATAATCGACGCTTTGAAACAGGACCCCTAATAAAATGTGTATGGTTATTTTGCTTAACACGTGTTCGGGGTATCATCCAAACCATTTGTGGAATAGTTCAATAATTTGTGTTATCATTCGTTTGTTTTTTTTTATTACGGATGTATCATTATGCAAAATACAATAATAGGGCGTCATTTACCCTACTTCAATATGGAAAACCACATACATCCTACACAGAAAAAAAAAAGTTGTTGAATATTACATCCAAACTGCTGCAACCAGGTCAATCCATCGGTTGTGTAATATAACGTTGTACGATGCTGCGTACACAACAAAAAAATGTAATATCGATCAATGTAATTCAAGCTGATGTATGAAATAATGATGTAATAGCAAAAAGCAGATACAATATTACATCAATGGATGTAATTTTGTTCGCAAAATCGATGTACATCGTACAACGTTATATTACACAACCGATGGATTGACCTGGTTGCAGCAGTTTGGATGTAATATTCAACAACTTTTTTTTTCTGTGTAGGTGCCATTTTGCATGGCTTTTGTTTATGCGTCGACTTATCAATATTATATTTACCAATTATTAATTGAAATTTTCCAAAACGTATAAGGCTATTTCTATCTAGATCAAATATTGATATCGAGAGACTATGTTCAGACTACAGAGCTGTAACACGTTATAAGCCTATCTTGATGACATTTTTCTTATCAATAACTATTGGAGTTCACTGAACATCTTAAAAGAACCTCAAACTACTTTGTGGTTTAAAGGGTGTCCACGATGAAATTGCCACACACAAAATTGATTCGCAAAATTCGAGTTTTCATCCGATTGCCATCAAATTTTCAGGGATTGAGAAATAACTATTAAACTTCATTTTACCATTTTACTCGTATTTTATTTACAGTCCATACGCAAATGCCCGCACCTTGGCCTTAACCCCGGCCATAAGATTCTGCACAACCTGTGAATCAACCGTTTTTTGCATGTAAACCCATACTTTCTTCAGTTCCTCGACTGTCTTCACTACCTTAGGTCGTTTAAGAAGGTGCTGCTTCATAATCGCCCAGTACTTCTCGATGGGGCGGAGCTCCGGAGTGTTGGGAGGGTTGAACATTTTCGGCACGAAATTGACCTTATTGTCCGCATACCACTTCAGCACGTCCTTGGAGTAGTGGCATGAGGCCAAATCCGGCCAGAAGATTGTTGGGACGTTGTGCGCCTTCAGGAGAGGAAGCAGCCGCTTCTGGAGGCACTCTTTTATGTACACCTGTCCGTTCATCGTGTCCTGGGTCACGAAAGGTGCACTCCGCTTCCCGCACGTGCAGATGGCTTGCCAAACCAGGAATTTCTTCGCAAATTTGGACATCTTCTGAGTGCGGACATGCTCCGGAACGCTGAACTTATCCTTGGCCGTGAAAACAGGTTGCCGGGGATCTGTTTGAAGTCGGCCTTCACATATGTTTCGTCGTCCATGATGCAGCATTCAACTTTCGTCAGCATGTTGAGGTACAACTTCCTGGCACGGGTTTTGGCGGACTTGTTCTGCTTCTCGTCGCGATTAGGGGCCTTTTGTACCTTGAACGTTCGAAGCCCAGCCTTAGTTTTGGCCTTCTGGACAAAACTTCGGCTTAGGTGCAGCTTCTTAGCCACATCCCTAACGGAGGCGTTCAGATTTCGGTTGAAGGCCCCAAGTACGTGGTTGTGATTTTTGGTGTTGTACGGAATACTTTTTCCTTCACTTCTGGGCTTCCGATCGGTGGTCAACCGTTCCTCGAACCGCTTAATCACTCGCGACACGATGCGATGGAACGATGCGAGAGATCCTTGTTCTCGTGATGAATGCGCAAGATTTTATCACGCACGAACTGTTCTTTCGACTCCATTTCCGCGAGTTTTGATCACAGGACTTTAAAACTTGCAGGATGTAAATAATGCACTATGAACTAAATCCACCCAAATTTTCATTAAATTCTACCCAACGGTTAAAAAGTAAGAGCAATTTCATAGTGTGGCAATTTCATCGTGGACACCCTTTATTTTACCATCTTTAAATTTACCGTTAACTTTCCTGATATCCCCCTAAACGGCTCCGTAAAGCTTTCCGGAAATTCGTTAGATTCTTTGAAGTTCTTTCAAACATCTGAGCAGATCACTGATGAGATTCCCTAAACTAAGGACTGTATCGAAAATAAGCTGTAAGCAATCAAATTTTTCGCTCAGATCCATACAAAATACAAATGTAAAAAAAAAACAAAACTTATTCGATTAGCTCGGTCATGTTCTTTTAAAAATGTGTTTTTTACAGTTCTCCAACTGTAGTCTACATAGGCTGCTACCTCAGTTGGGCTCTCCATATAATACACAATGCTGCCGTGAGATGACAATGTGACGTAAATCCATTTATTTTTTGGTTAAATTCGCAATGGTTACGAAATTATGACTGGATCACTTGATCTAAAACAAGCTAAGAAAAATTAACCCTGATGATTCAAATAGATTTTAGTTTTTCGGCACTTACGTATGGCGGACGTTAAAGGTGCGACCTATCACAATCACAATCGTCAAACAGCTGATGGTAGTAACGCTAGGTACATTTCTATCAATGTGCTTGTCGAAGCACTCTCCATGACCATCTATCAAGTTGACGAAAGAAGTAAAAAGCAACGGGTGAATGTCATCTACGGCGGTGGTCCATCACCGATCTGGTCATTCTCGACAATCACAACACTCATCTGTGCTCGTTTTGAAGCAGTTGCTGTTTTGCTTGGTTATGTAAGTGAGCCCAACAGCTTCCGTTTAATTTTGCCAGCTTTGTTTGTAACTCACACAGCCGCGCGTGCCGAGACGAACTTGGAATGCGTAGGCGTTGTTTTCATTTTCTTCTTTCGTTTCGCTTTTTCTCATCATTGTACTGCAGAAGTCTTCACTGTTTTCGTTGTGCTTTACATCATCAGGAGCAAGTGTTACGCTTTGCCTGTGAGCAGCGACCATTACTGGTTATGGCCATGGTACTACCTCTCACTGTGTGACAAAAAGTTCTTTTAGCGATAGTCGGTTGATGCGTTGACGAGTGTCGAGTGAGTGTCATGATATTTTGCATCCCTGGCGGACGTCACTTATGTGTAGAAACAGTGAAACATGTTCACTGTTTCTCCGAAAATGTATGGATCACGTCACTTTGTCTGCATGCTTCAAAATCAAATATTGTAAAAGTGTGGAGTGTTTTTGAGCACGATTGACCTCCCGTGGATGCTACTCATCCAGATCAGCTGTAATTACCCAGAGAACCAATACACGATAGGGGCCTCATAGCCTAGTCAGTAAAGACACGGTATTACCAAGCCGGAAGCTGCGGCTTCGATTCCCGATCCGGTCGAGGGAATCTTTTGGGTTTGAAATTTTCTCGACTTCCCTGGGCATAGAGTATCATTGTGCTTGCCACACAATATACAAATTCATGCATTGGTATTGGCATCGAAAGCTCTCAATTAATAACTGTGGAAGTGCATTTAGTTGAGAGCACGCAATAAGCTAATATGCGCTAAGCAATAAGCTTGAAAATGCGAATAAGAAGAAGAAGAACCAATACACGGTGCTTGGGACTAACATTCATCCCCAATGTATAAAAACTGCTAATCTAAAGCTAGGCAATAGCATATTACATACTAAATACGCACAGGGCCTCGTCTGCTGACCATTGCCGCGGGTATATCGTGGGAGTCCCAGGTACCTGGTTCAAGCTTTAGTTGGCGGCGGTGGTTCTTCTTGACCTTCTACCCCCCTGAGTAGTAAGTGTGAATAAGGGCGTCTATATGATGTTTTGCTGTACCTGTTGTGGATATCTAGTGCATCCTGTTCTCTTAACTTGTTGAGGACACCCTGTCTTGCCTCAAAATTTACCCTTTTTGAAGTACTAGTCTTTACAGCATAGCGGAGCATGAGATCTTGTGTGTTATTTTTGTCAAAATGAGCTGCGAAATTTGTTCACTGGAAACTACCGTCGATACGGAATTATGCAGCTGCATCGGATGTGCTCACTCATTTCATGTCGCCTGCGTGGGAGTCCCAGTTCAACGTGGGTCTCTGCGGAAAAGGGACAAAAATCTTATGTGCTACCGTGCTGTAGTTCATGCCAAGTGCTCGTCACGTTGGAATTTGATCTTATAGCGAATTCGTTTATTATCGGGGTTAACACCAGTTCCAACCCAGTGCGAAACCGAACTTTTTGTCAGTGTAAACCTCAACCTGAGCTAGGTTTTAAAAACAAACGAGCAAACTGACGTTTGTCAGAAAACAAGCAGACCCAATCTTGATACCCGATCCAGGTTGGAACTGAATAATAAACGAATTCGCTATTAGATTGCTAATTGAGCAGCATAAGGCCTTCGAAAAACAACTGGATACACTGAAAAAAATCGACATGTACCGTTTATTGGATCCATCTTATAACATAGCAATGTCAGCAGATTTATTCATTCT